CAGTGTTTCTTAACCTTTTTGATATAATGGACCCCTTTTAAAATTTTTTAAGAAGTCACGGACCACCCCCCTGTGAAAAAAATAATTGCAAAAAACATCAATTATTAGAACATTTAATTTTATTATTTTAATAGTATACAAAATCTTTAATATGAAGGTTGCTGCTTTTCCTTAATTAATAAAGTGAATTGGGGGATGGTTTTCGACAAAGCAACGGGCATATCATGTTCAACATTCAATCGATTTCAATGTTATGTTTTTATTGTCACAATTGTGGAAAATCCCGCTTCGCCAAGATACACTGTAGCAAACGGAATTATAGCTGCCATAGCTTACTTTACAAGCAATGAGTAGGCTTTCAAACTTTTTAAAAATTAGTAGTCAGCGGACCCCCAAATTATAACTCGTGGACCCCTTAGGGGTTCATGAACCACAGGTTAAGAAACCCTGCTCTACAGAGAAGCAGAGGAGATAGCTCATCTTTTTTGGTAGCCTGACGAGCTGTGTGCAAAGTCAAGCACTTAATGGTAAGAACAGTTTAACAAGGATCAATACCATTTACTCTTTACTCTTTTGCAGGCTGATCGCAGTAAGGATGCCAACTACTAAGCATTTAAAAAACATTTGATAGAGTGGTAGATGGCATGCAATTAAAATTAAAGCTTTCAAAATTTCTGGTAATTTTACCAACATTTTTAAAATGCCTCACCACGAGTGAACCGAAATAAAGTGTTAATAACTTTTATGTCATTTAAATGTAGCAGTATGGAACATAATTCGAAGTTATTTTTCTTAAAAGCTTAGAAAATTGGCAGTACTGTCAAAGTAGTCACCTGCTCACTCACTTAACTTGGCCAATGACGCTTGACGTTCACAAAAAGAATCAAAAACTATCTACCTACTAATAGATTACAAGAGTTTACATTCCTACCAGTCTTTAATCTAGTCAATCCAAACCCTGATGAGACATAGCTATCACAATAAAAAATTAGGCATAAGACAAAATAAACTATTTTGCTTCTTATTTTCTCAAATATTTGAACAATCTCCAAATAAATGAAACTATAATAGTGAACTTAAATAAATAAGTTATTCTAAAAATATATAAACTTCTGATTAATACTTTTCTTATATCGTCCATGTCATTAAAGCTAATCGCATCAGATGGCTAAGACACCTTTACAGATTAGATGACAATGAACCAAGAAAGTGACTTTTCGAAACCAGATGGAGACCGTAAGAGAGCCGACCACCCATTAGGTGGTTAGATATCTAAGTGATCAGTGCTGGAAGACTATGGTGACTAACAGGGCAAGATGGTGAAAACTTATTGAGACGGCCTTGGCCTGTAGTTCCGAAGAATACTACTATGAACAAAATTTAAACTTATTGTGACACAAATATTATTGTTATTTATCCCAATAAAAAATATAGAAATGGATTTCTAAAGTATCGCTATTCTAAACAAGGCCATAGCTAAAAAAAAAAATCCTGCAAATTATTTAGATGGGGAAAATAACCTTTATTGATTTTGATAATGTATCAGTGCTGGAAGACTATGGTGACTAACAGGGCAAGATGGTGAAAACTTATTAAGACGGACTTGGCCTGTAGTTCCGAAGAATTATACAATATATTACAATAGATGTTTGTTATTCGCTTTTTTAGAGGAGCAGCCTGCTCTTCAATGCACTCTGTCTTTTCTGTAAAAATAAAACACCATCTCTTAAAAACACTTTTTTATTCATATATTATTTTAAAAAATGTAATTCACTGTTTGAATAATATTTACACAGATTATAGCAATAAAATAATAAACTCTGGTGATTTTACTTCAGAAATAAGACTTTTGTTCACAAAAGGGACATATGAACTTTTGCACCCACTTTGTCATCTTATTAAAAATAAACCACCATCCCTTAAAAACACTCCCTTTTCATTCATATTCCATTTTTAAAAAAATTCACAATTTAAATAATATTTACACAGATCATAGTCTACAAAATAATAAACTCTGGTGTTTTTACTTCTGAAATAAGACTTAATAAGAATTATATAAACTTTAAAGGACAAAATATTGGCTTGTTTCTTTCAACAGAGCTAGTCTTCATTGTTCCATCCCCTGGCTTAAACAACAAGGTTTTACTATGCCATTAGCAGCACAATTAATACACAATAAGTCATAAATTAAAGGGATGAATCTATGAAAAAAATAACGATCTTCATAAAATTCTGCCCGGATGCGAAAAGTTTTTATTACTAGTTGTCTTTTCTCAAGCTTAATTGTTTTTTCATACTTAAATGCAGTTATATTTCTCAAAAAGACGCACGCACAATTGGAGTCTTTATAAACTGAAATATTTATCGATTGGTATACTTAGTAAATAACTTAAAATCGGAATATTTCCATATGTATTATAACGGCATTAAAATATCACGTATTAGACTAAAAAATTTAGTAAACCGGTCATGGGCTATCCTTTGTCATTACCAAATCTGAAATATACATTTATTATATGGCTTCGTTACGGTACGCTGATTTATTAGACTAAAGTCTCTCTTCCTTAAACTAATCATAATTTGCAACATTTTTAATATTACAGTTCTTTGTATAAGAATAACTTAGTTTTAAGAGATGATATGAGATAGGTTAAAGTTGACAGCTGAATAAATAAAATCGTCCAGTTTGATTGTCATACAAGATGCAATACAATGACAGTTTAATAAGAAAATAAACTTAAGAGAGAAAAACTAGTGCAGTTGACTAAGTTATCCCAATAAATAATTATTTAATAATTAAGCTATACACTTACGCTTTAAACCAATGTTAACAACTTTAGCAGACAAAGCTGACTAAATATGAAATATCAAATCAACAGAAAATATTTTTTTCAAACTCGTATAATTAAAGTTCATAGAAAGAGTTACTAACTTTATTATGGAGAGCCTTATACAGGATCTTGCAATTTATTGGAACCAAAAAAAAGGGAAATGTCCCGCGAATGGAAACTTATAAATTGCGCAGACTCCACTACGTTATCAGCTCCATTGCCGAACTAAAACTTTTTGTTTTTTGTCTGCGTGATACCAATATGAGAATGGAGTTGTTCTTTCGCTTGTATCCTCTAGATTCTATGTACAATTCATGGAATACTAACGAGTCTAATGCCTGGAACTTACTTCAACTTATACTTTGATACAGTTAAAGCATCCATCTAACAATAGATCCAATATTAAAAAAAATTGTTAGTAAAAATGTACTTTGAAGTATTAGATAAAAATAAAGCATTGTAATTCTTAAGAATAAATTCAGTTATTATTATTATGAAATGCAGACGATGTACGAACTCAATATTTAACAGTCGTTATACAGTCTGGAAAACATTCCCGAGGGTGATTCGAAGACAAGCCATTACAATTTTATTTCTTTGCGGAGGGGATGACTTCTCCACACACTCTCGATCCCTTCATAGCCTGATCAAAGTGGTCACCCACCCATATACTGACCGCAGTCAACGATGCTTGACTTCCATGTTCAACTGGGAACCGTGTCTTACGATCAGCCCACTGTGGAACTTTTAATACTTAAAAGGAGATAATTTCTTTTTTGGACTCTCTTTTTCTTTATGCCAATTGATTTTCTTCCACAAAGCGGAAGTGATTCCTTTATTAGAAAGGAGGAAGTCTTCGACCTAATAGAAGCTAGTGCTTTCGCCTTGATTTCTTCTAATATTAATTTATTTACTTAATATTTTGTAAAAGATTTGTGACTTTAGAAAAGTGATTTCTTAGAGTATCTTCAGGAAGCAAATTTGAAACATAAAAAATTTAAGGAAATAAAAGGCTTGTATTTTAATTTATACATTCAATCAATTTGCTTTCCGAACTATGCAATATCTTTTCAAATATTGTATCAAACAACTCGATCACAAGCACATTCACATTTTACTTTTAAAAGCTGGATTATTCTTCATTTTATTTATTTATAAAGGATACAATAGATCAGTTTTTCCCAAAGAGTGGTACGCGTACCCCCAGGGATACGGGAACAAATTAGCGAGGCACGTGTTCTTATGCGAAATAACTTGGAACAAACGAAAATTTCAAAAAATTTTATTTAAAAATAACAAAACTATAAGCATGAAAATTTACGATTACGTATTTTTTGCAGAATTAACAGTTGATAATTAATGGTGTCAACAGTCAGTTGTGATTTTTCACTTTTGGGTAATTTTTTTTATAGTAAAGGCTTGTTAAAAATTCTACTTATTTTGATTATTTTTATAAAATATAATTTCATTCTTCTATCTATCATCCTTCTCACTGATGCAAATAAACTTATTAACTAAACTTTGTACCAAAAAGAAAAATAAACATATTTCTAAAAAAAAAATACATTCATTTCTTTTTTATTAGTGGTACACAGCGTTACGAAAAATTTAGAAAGGGTACATTAAAGTCCTAAGTTTGGGAACCACTGTAATAAATGATTAATTGAATGTAAACAATGATAAACTTCGTTAAAGAAAACTTCAGGCGTATCCCTCTACTATGATTACAAGGAAATTATATTATTGAACTTATATTTACTAGAAAATTACATTATTGTGTTCTAGGAAATTATATTATTGTGATTTGAACTTATATTTACACGTAATTTTACCATTCATAAGAGTTTTCTGTAATTTATAAATTCTAACAGGTTGTAAGCCTAAAAAAAATATGAGAAAGTTAATGTTAGAACAAATATAAAGTGTTTTGAGCATTATTTGGATATATTTCTATAAAATAGCGACGTTTGTTATTTTTTTGGGGTAGCATCATAACAAGCTTGCAGAGTCATCAAAAATTCATTTGTCTCATTATAAGTTAAATTGGAAGAACGCGTTATATTGAAAACACTTATTTCATGTATAATAATATTGAATGACGCGGCTTTTTCAAGCTTAAGCGGAAGTAGTAACCTGGGAGTTATATGACGACTTTTAACCTCTGAGCTTAGCTTTACAAGGTAAACCATCAATTTTCCTTATCAGGATAAAGAACGCTGCTTAGAGATGAGATCGAAAAAGCTAATAAAATTTTTATAGATATTTATTTACACACATAAATTGCAATAAAAAAGGACATAAGTGAGCAATATTGGGAGTTTCTATATCACCCCAGTTCGGAAAACGCTGTTTAGCTCTGTCTTGTGTGTGTTGCCCATAAATGTAGTCGAGTCAGATTAAGGCAAGGACAGGCGGGGCAGTTGCCCCAGACCCCACATCAGAGGGACCCCCAAATCGAATAGAAAGCTTATTTTAGGTTTCTTTTTTTTAATCAACTTTTTCAAACAAAGTATCATTACAGTGTAAAATCCCTCAATTTTATGATAGCTTCTTCACTAATCTATCGTATGAACACAAAAAATCTATATTTCGTAAATCCAAGACTTTCTAGTGCGGAATTCAGCCAATTTTTCGCAATTACGATAGATAAATTTGGTCAATCAAAAGCCTGTATTTCTACGCATCGCAAAATGCGATATATTTGCAAAAATACAATAGCTTCTGCTAGACTTAATTGAGACATCATAATTGCAATATTGCAAACATTTAGCTGAATTCCGTCCTAATGTCAGCAAAGGATATGCATTTTCACAGCTAGATGATGAAGTTAACAATCAGAAAACTGCATTTGACATGATGGACATAGAATTGTCAGAAAATCGGTAAAATGGACAGAACGATATTTCGTCTAACCATTGGAGGGGGGGGGGGCTTTATAGCTATTTTAGGTTCGAGTCAATTTTCCTGTTATATATGTATAATGAAGTGAAAATTTAAATACCTCCATAAAGTTCGATTCTTCATTGCTGAAGTAGAGGGGGCCTCCAAAGAAGTTTTTGCCCGGGCCCCAATTAGGCTAAGTCGGGCCCTGAATGTAGTGGTGTGAAGAGATAGGGGCGAAGAGACAAATGCCCAAGGCAAAAAAAAAAAGTGGTTAAATTACAAACATTATTATTATTAGGAAATCAATTTTTTTTATTTGGTAAATACAATTTCAATTTTTTTTAAATTAGGTAATAAGGTTATGAAAAAATAAATTTCAAACAAACTTTATAATGAAATTACTGGTCATTAAAATTTAAATATATCTTACATGTCAGAAATGTTAAGAATATTTTTCTGGAAGAAATACATTTTTCCCCCTTAATATAAGCATAACTTCCACGAACATTTACGTAAAAATGGCTCCAAAATAAGGATTAAAATTTTTATGAATGTGTATAGATATATTACAATGTACTTTTTCCTTTAATTTTAATGTTTTTTGTTTCCCGCTCTCCTTTAGATATTACATTATTTCCCTCATCTTTTCAGTGTCATCTATTCGAGAAGTATACCCCGCGCATTCCTACGCCTCTGCACAAATGACATAATTTAATATTTACTTTTATATTTGCTTATAGGATCAAATTCATAGCGCACGGGAAATTGAATTATGTTGAAATTAACTTTTTAAACTATGCGATTAAATCTACAGCATGTGCTGCTTACATATTAGAAGATGCTATCATTTTATTTCTGCGTTGTGGCTCCGTACAAAGTTTGCATCCTTCTCGCATTTTAAGTTAAAAATTATGTTATAAGTTAGACTTTATTTACGTGTTCAAGTATATATCTTTTAACATTTCTTAATCCGGAAATTAATTACTGGCTCAACCTAATGGAAGTGTGTATTATTTTAAGCATTTTAAAAGAAAAAAATTAAGTTCAGCGCTTCTTAAGTGAGTCATACAGCATGCAATAAAACTTTCTTTCCTTCGAATTAAGATCCAATAGTTTCTCAAAATTTTATTGGTTGAGATGACGGCTGCAGAGTAAATATTTTTTCATTCTGAAAAATACAATTAACAGTAAAAAGTCGTTCGAATCACCTGCCTTTTTAGAATATTTCAGTTCTGTGGATCGAGAGATGAAAATGGAGACTGTATGGTTCGTTTTGTTTTTGATGTTGAGTGGATCTGTGGTTGGAGAAAATAATAAATTGATTGTTTTTATGGTGGATGGATTCCGATGGGATTACTGGGACTTTCCTGGACTCAAACTTAAGGCATATCCGCAGTTCCTAACGTATGGAGTAAAGCCACCTTACATCAATCCTGTTTTCCCTTCTCTGTCATACCCAAACATCAACAGCTTTGTTACAGGTTATTGCATTTGATTATTTCACTCTCATATATAACAAACCGACGTCTTCTAGTACCCTAAAATCTCTCTGTATATAAATATTAGTCTGTTTGTATGTCCTATATAAAGCCATAAAACATCCGACCAAGAGCTATTAAATTTGTCATACTTATAGTTCGAAGCACGGAGAAGGTAAACTAGCGACATTTGATCATTCTACGACGAACCGTTCGAGCGGGATGAGCAAAGTAGTCATTATTTTAAATTAAACTATAGATATTTTAAAGATAATATCAGTAATATTTACTAGCTTATAGCTCTACTTGATAAAAAGAAGTTTATTTCATGTTCTATAATATTTTTCTATTCCCTATATCTGATAACTTTAATGCACAACGTTAATGAGGTAACATTGGAATCATACGTCCTCAAATAAGTATTTCTGTAGTTTTTTGAAACCACGTCTTTATTTTGTTTATAGCAACTCTTTAGCTAAAACGTGTTTCTATAAAAGTAAATGATTTAAAATCAATGGTAATTGATGAACGTTGAAATAAAAGAAATAAGTTCTGCACTAAAAAGTAAAATTTATGAAGTTCCGGTTTCCGGTCATAAGTCGTTTAGAGCAGTACTCCCCAACCCCCGGTCCGCGGACCGGTTCCGGTACGTGGATCAAATGGTACCGGGCCGCCCATTTCATTGAAACTGAATTTATACCCCAAATTAAAAATATCTGTGTTCCATTAAAATTTTATTTATTTAAAAAAAAGGGCCCCCGAAGGTAGTGACATGAATTTTTGTAATGTATCATTGTCTCCGATTACCCCCAGATGGAACCGTCTCATTGCAAAGAAACAAGCTTAGGGTTCGCATTGATTTAACGTTCTAGTAAGTTAAAATGCTAAATCACTTTATATTTATTTTTTGGTGTAACTGTATTTTGTTTTGAAGACATGTTTAAATACAATTAAATTAAAATTAATATGATATAAATTAATATTAATATATGTAATTAAAATATTATATATTAAAATTAATATATNAGAAATTATTTTTTCCAATGGTAACAAAGATAGTGCATTAATATTTTAATGAATTACAGTAAAAAGAACATTTTTTCCCACTACTGCTTAAATATTTAAACGGTAATTAACCAAAATTTAAACAGATAGAGAAATGGTCATGTTCTAAAGGTCCTAATCTAAGTTTTATAAGAATTTTATTTGCTTTTAAAGTTTCGCCTTCAGCTTGCTAACACTGATGAATTGTATTTCGCACAAAAATTAAATGTTGAAGGATTATATAAGTAGGTACCAAACATACTAATATAGGTATAAAGTTTTTTGTTGATATGTTTGGTAATTATTAAAACTGCACCAATACTGAGCAATTTTAATACAGATACTGTGGAAATAAATGTCTTACGGCCCCTCGAAAGAGATATATACTAGAGAAAATTACTTGATAGTGGGAAGTTGGTCGCGAGCAATAGCATGATGCCAAGTGACACTGAATACAATTAAACTTTGTTCTAATGGGATGAACGACAATTGCTTAATTTAATAATGTAAAGCCACCGGGTAGGGTTACAAACAATAATAAATAAAAAGAATTTAAATTATTTTAGCGTTGTCGACTGTACTTGATTTTGTAGTGTTTTTCAGTACTAATTTATTGATTCTTTTCTTCTTATTCATCTCGTACGAAGAGGAGTTTACTGATATTAAAAAAAATATATGAATGTTAGGAATTGTAAATATTTAAAGGAGGTCAAAAAACAATTTGTCGTATCATTGTTGATTATTGGGCATAGAAGATTTTTATTTTTATTTTTCTCTGTCTGACAATAGTGTAATAATTATTCAGTTTTATAATATTGAAGTGATAGCTAAAACGAGAATATATCTACTACTCTTCAATATTTGTTTCTTTCCATTTTTCATTGTTTTGTTTGAACTTTGCCTTCCTAAAAAATTTAAACAAAATATAATCTCAATGAATTATGTGTAGTACTATGTTATGTTCTAAGAAAGAAAGACGAAAGTTAAATTATTAGCATAATTTGTATCTTAAATTGCTAGACGCTTATCTCTAACAAAAATGCATTTGAATTGATTTAAATGACAAATTGGGTTAGTAAGAGCCACACAAAAAATACGTTACTGCATGCCTTTTAAATAAGACAACTTTACATACATGAGACATAACATGACTTGCATCGTTTATTTTACGGGTGGTTTAGATTTTATGTCATACGAAAACACAAAATTAACATTTTCAAACATATTATTTAAATTTTATCTAAGTGTTTCTTAAAAATTTAATATTCACGTCACAACAACATAAAAAAAATGATTTAAATCGAAGTTTTAATTATAACTTCGATATTATCTACTTTCATTCGATTTATACATCTACTTGGATTAAAGCAATGATTCAGAGACCTATAAACATTTATGACAATTTCATTTTTCAGATGAAAGTTTGTGACATGTTTTATTGTTTCATCTGTGGTTTATCTGTTTTCTTTATATTCTGACTTTAATAGGAAAGTGCAAAAACGACTTCTTTCGAGAACAGAAGAGATACAATGCAAAATGAATATAGCATCACAATCGTATAAGTAAAGTTCTAATATATGATTTGAAACTATTATGATAATTAGTTTCAATGTAGTTATGATTACATCTTTATTAGCATAATATTTCTTCGAGCATAAATTAATAAATCGTAAATGATTAATAAATCGCATTTAATTAACATTGCGTTAATATACACAAAACTGAAAGGCATGTACTAAAATTTACCAAATTTAAGATTATTTCAATTTTTTTTCTTATTACTGATTGCTTTATTGTTGACTTTTAATTATTCAACTAAACAGATCACTTTTTATTTTAAAAAAATTAACTCCTCCGAAAAAAAGATTAAGTGTACAGTTTCATTTGGCGCCGACAATAGTTCTATTGATTATAGATCGGGGTTAAGACATGATGCTCAAGATTTGTCTCAATCATGCAATTTTCTCAATGACTCGTCATTTTAAGATAAAACTTTTTTCTTCTTTCAACTAACGTTGGTTTTGTATTAATAAGTTTCATAGAAACAAGTTTTAAAATCGTATTTTATAAATTTATAAACTACAAACGTAACTTATAAACGTCACACTAGAGCTGCACAATGGGCTATAGGCGTCGATCTGGGAAACAGAATCTCTGCGAATCTCTGGGGAAAATCCTCTGCAGAGGGGATGGCTCCCCCCGTTTTGGTAGCCCGACGACCTGAAAGCGAAGTCAAGCGCTTTACGATAGAGGAGTTTAGTGATGACCGATACAGCGCACCCACAGTCCCTACGCAGGCTGGTTGAAGTGGTTATCCACTCGCTTACTGACCGCAGCCAGTGTTGCTTGACTTCGGTGATCTAGTGGAAACCGTGTTTTTACGATCATTCCATTAAGGGAGGAACTAACAGTAACATACAGTTAAACTCGTTTTCTATAAAATAGAGCTGTAAGATAGCGATCATTACTAATGTTATCTTTTAAATGATAAGATAAAGTGTTGATAGTTCTAATTTCTTCAATGCCCAATGTAATCTTATGAAGAAAAAAAAATTTCCTTTTTCATAATTTTTTGAGGATAAAAATAAATAAAAAATAACCTTTTCAAATTCTAGACCAATCACTATTGATTAAGATTCGAGTAAAAGAAGGATTGAATTCATCCTTTGTTTTAGAATCGTTTTGGGGTTATTTGTTGTTTTCCTTCTTGCCTATTATATGTCCAATCTGTTCGCAAATAAAGTTTTGGTTTAAATTTGTAATAGTAAAAGTTTTATAACTCTGATTCAAAATTCTAAAATAATCGAAAAATTCGACTTTAAAATGACTATTTATTAGTTCTTTACTTGCTTGTATTAAATTTAGAGTTCGTAAACAAGTGGTAAAGATTTTTTATTTTTTTTTAAAGGAAAAAAAAAAATCAGAATATAAGCTGAAATTTTCTAATTTCGGATATAGATACATTATTTAGATTTATTAAAATATTCTAATTGTGTGAAATATAATAAATTGTGAATAAATAATCCCAAGAAACTAAAGCGGTAAGATATTACGTGATTAAAAATTTCATTTGTTTCAAAAATTTATAAATAGGAAATAAAAGTCGACATGCTTCGAGCACTCAAAAACAGGTGCCCATTTTCAAGACTTGTCAGACAAGTCTTGAAAACAAGTGCCTGTTTTTGAGAGCTGGACTTTAATTTCCTATTTATATATTTTGGAAGTGAATGAAGTTTTTAATCAGGTTATAATGAAATGTAATTTTTTATTTTAACATTACTACCACTTTTTAATTTTTTTCCTGATGCATAATAGCTCTGATTAAATTTCAAATTTAAGGAGCTAAATCTACATGTGCGCTGTATTTTTTAATATTAAAGAATAAAAAAAAACATAAATAAGTTACAAATTTTTTTTTTGTAAAAAAAAAATTAAATTATTAGAATAAAATTTTACGCGATTGAATATGTAAGAATATTTCTTTTTAAACTCTAAAATTCAATTATAGATGAAGAATAAAAAGTTTTAAAGCATTGTCTTTTGATTTGATCACAGAATGGAATAAACAAGTTTTTGGCTATTTTTCCTCCCACATTAGCCCCAGTAGACTAAGTACGTTTCTCTTTCTCAACTTGGTTTGTAAGAGCAACTTCTTGTAGTTTTTTCTCTACTATTCCCTATAAATTTTCAATTTGGTTAAGATCCAGCATATTAGCTGCCTACAGTTGCTCCAACCAGATCAAGAGTTGATTTTGGTGTATGAGATGAAACTAAATCTTTTTGGAAAATGAAATCATTCCCTAACAAATCTTTTGATGAAAGAATCACGTAGTGCTAAAGAAGATCTTTATATATTGCTGTTGTTTCTAATGCCACTTGCCAGTACTAGCAGGTCTGCCGGAAGAAATCAAGTGAATTTAAGGCAGAGGGTGCGTTTCTTGTTTTTCAGTGGCGCCACTATGGCCAACCTGTTTATATTGTGGGCCTATTCAAACATCCACAGAAATAAGGGGAACCGGGCTCGAATCCCAGCGATGTCTGGTCGATACGAGCTCCGCATCCGGCTTGAACTGACCACAAAGTTGACGTAAAATATCCTCAGTGGTAGACGGATACGAGTTAGAGTCCCTTGTCTCTGGATAACCATGGAACGTTCTCGTGATTCTGCTCTCCTTGTAACACAAATGCAGGTTAGTTCCATGGAAATTCCTTCCACGAGAGCAAAATTTCTTATAATACTTGATCCAGGAGTTCCCTTGTCTTCTGGATTGGGTTCAAAATTACAAGGCTGTGGAGTAGTCGTAAACCCAAAAAAATTGGGCCGACTGTTCAATGACGGTTATAATATGAAATAAAATGTCCTATTCAGTACCCCCAGAAGTATTGATTTGTTATGGGAAAATTGAGGACTTTGTGACCCAACAGATTTAACGCACCCCAGCCATTTATTACATGAGGAGTCTTCGTCTGATATATTTCAGAATCAACCCTTCTTTTCAGATCGATTTCTACTCATACAACTTTATACCATCAAAGTAGTTACACATTTTACCAAACGCTTCAAACAGTTTTTATTAATTGTTTCTTGTTTCATTCTACTAACTCGAATGCTTTGATTGTCATAAGACTCACAGAATATTTTTTCGTCACTAAATGATATTATTATTTTCCAATCCTCGAAGCCCTTCAACAATCTTGATTTGCACCATCTCTTTCTTGCCATAAGTGGTATTATTTCTGAGACACGAAATTAAAACTAAAATTTATGCAGATGATGTAATGTTATAGATTTAGAAATATTAAGACCTCTTTCAATTTCTGATAAAATATCGTACGCTTCTTAATTGATTTTTTAAAACTATAGTATTAATTTTTCTGTCATCTCTGATCGAAATAATTATTTACAGATTAAAATTATTACCTATATAATTATTTAAAAACAATTATTTCTAAAATTTGCACTCTTCCGATACTGTTATAAGAGGTTACAAACGCTTCACTGAGAAAAATTCAAATCATTGTAGCTTGAAATACTTGATTGATTTTTTCCTTGTCTGTGTAAGCGGTTAATTTATAGCTTTATTGATTCTAGAACACCGCGTGAAAACGTCCATTTTTAGGCCTGTTTAGACGATCCAATTTCTTGGACAGAGATTGTTTGATATTGATGGAAACTTGTTTTGCTTTTGAGCTTGGATCGTGTAAACAAACATCCAAGAACTTGGTCCAACTTCTTGGACGATAGTAGAGCATGTTCTACTTTCCATCCAAGTTTTTTTCTCTCTTAACCAATCAGCGTCTTAGGTTTTGTGACGTCAACAAGCTGGCAGCAAATTATGTCATTTGGTTGTGGGTTTTCATATATTTTAGTCAAAATAAATTGATCTGTTGAGGTTTATTTGTGTTATTATGATTTTATTTGAATTTATTTAGTAATTTTAAACTTATGTAAGTATTATTTTGTAATGTTGAATATGAACAATGCGCATGCGCAAGTTTTTCTTTCAACGAATCAGCGACATTCAAGAACTTGGATAGTGTCAACGAATCATCCAATTTCTTGGACAGAGAAATCCGACCAATTTCTCGGATTCAAGAAATTGGACCGTGTAAACAGGCCTTTAGTTTGAAACAAATTCCAAGCATAAACACTGAAAAAAAAGTTTCTTTTTTTTAAAAAAATAATCGTCAGCAATAAATTTAAAATTTTCATAAGCTACTCGTTAATTATTAAAAATAAATACTATTTTTACAATAAATACCAATTAAAATAAATATTTTAATATTTTAAAATTTAGAAATAACTTTTTTAATTATTATCTTTAAAAAATGAGCAAAAACTTTAACATCGTAGTCTGATTGGATATAAATTCTTCACAAGATTATCGTTTGCATTAAATAATTATTAAAGTGTTTTATTGTCATCAAGCGAAAAGAAAGATTCTAATATTTTTGAATCAGAAACGTATTATTTCAGAATTTTTTAATAACTTGTACAAGAAAGAGCACATGGTGTTTTTTTTGGCCTCTGTGCATGAATCTAACTATACACATACAAATTTCAGGTCTGTATCCAGAGAATCATGGATTCGTTGAGAACTATTTGTGGGACAAGAAGACGAATGAGTTCTTTCAAATGATTCCTCTAGAAAACACAACAGACCCAATGTGGTGGCAAGAAGCAGAACCCATTTGGATAACTGCTGAGAAGCAGAAAAAAAATGCAGCCGTGTACTTCTGGGCAGGTTGCGAGGTTGGTAGACACAACCTCCACCCCACAATCTGCGAACGACATCGGTACGACCCGCCAACTAAAGAAGGTAAGAACGACGTGAAAGAGAGAATAGACGATGTCTTGGAAATGTTCCATCCATCCCCAGCTCTTGGCTACGATAGGCTGGACCTTGCAATGATATATCTTCCATGGGTGGACTGGGCTGGTATGTATATTTCATTAGAATAAATAACTTTATATGGAAGAGCTTTCAAAGTATACGTGTAAATCGTAACTCTGATTGTTAGCCCTAAGGCCGTGTTCGTATACTCTAAGAAGCTTCATATAATCAACACGAGTTTGCCTTCTAAATATTGATGTTTTTTTTTTTTAAAAAAAATATAGTTATTAAACTAACTACTTGATGCCGAATTCTTTTGCTGTGCTTATATGAAATATAACTTGCAGTTTCTGCTCAGATTACTCCTAAAGTTTTTAACAATACTATAAAAAGTTAAATCCTAAAGAAATATAAAAGTACCCAGATTTTAACAATCTCTGATACCCATATTTTAACGATCTCTGTCATAATGGGATACCTACAAGTGACGTAGTGGGGGTATCTCGATCCTGATTGGGTTTTGAAATGTCGCATGTTTACGTTAGCAACAGTTCTTTTCATTCTATATCGAGTGAACCAAACCCGTCAAGCATCAGTTCTCTTAAGTGACAGATTCTATAATCTTTCACAATTATTCTTTCTCAAATATTTCAGTTCTTTCACCATTTATTTCTTACTTAACTCAAAGACAGGCACGAAACCATTTAGAACATAAACAAACTAATTATAGATTGAAGTTGCCAGGTACACAAAACAAAAATATATCACGGTTACAATAAAATATATAAACAAATTATAAATCTTAGTTAAGTAAAAGATGTAGACGAGAAAGAATTATATTTCAGCAATTTCGATGTGCGATACGGCAATATATTTAATTAACTTCACGTTAATTAGCATTCTAACGTATGCTTAGTTGTAAAAGCTTAGTTGTACGTCATAGATTACATGTACGGGTATACGTTATCTTCTTCTCAAAGAAAAAAAGATCAGAAAAAGACGCTACAACTACATGAGGGCTGAAAAAAGTACCATCAAATTTACACTACCCTTCCAAACGCCAGTCATTACGTAAGTAAAATCCAAACTGATTCGGATTTTTCTTCATTCGATACCGTTGTCTATAGAGACTAGAAGAATCGTAATTAAAAAATTGGTGGTTAAAATGTAAAAAAAAAATTCCCAAGAGCCATTTTGTCAGCCTAGGAATTCACAGAAGCTCCACAATTTTGAGACAAAAGTATGTATTCAGAGACGAGCTGCTACCCATCAATCTGAAACTTGATGGGCTTAAAGTCATCACTGAGGTTTGAACTCTTGTCATACAATACACAGTGATAGCTCACAGTGCTTTATCTCCAGTGCCATCGAGATTTAAAATTGGTGAAAATGGTAAGATTTGTTAAAATATGCTGAAGGAACCTGCGAACCATTCTCCCGTAGAACGCAACTGATAATCAAAGTTTCTCAATCCCATCATGCTTTGTACAATGCTTTATGAACTTCCCACGTGTTTCGATCTTTAGCTCATATCTGGGGATTATCCCGGAACTACTTCATTGTTTTTGCTCAACATTCATCATCTTCAATATCAATGAAAGAAGGGCGGGCCGTAAATATAGTCTTAAGCACCTAGATATAGGCATATGCTTATGCATTGAAAAAAAAAAAGTTTTTATTCCTGGGACATGAAGTGTCTGACGACAGGCCTCTTGACACCAGTAAAGAATTGCTCTAAATAGCTAAAATCACATTTTAAAAATTTAACCTCCGTTATTATTATTTAGTTCTGGAAAATTTCTTATTTTGCTCATTCAGAAATGTACTATAGTTTGTCTACGGTAAGAACTCCCCCCACCACAAAGGAGAATGGCTTCACTTCACTCTAGGGCTAACACAAAAGAAAAAGATTTCCTTTTTCTCGCCGTCCGAGCCAAAACTTATCCTAAACAATGACCCCAAACCCCTATCTGAATTAGTTATACTTCGTTACCATAGCCACCGACACAGGTCCAGACGAATGTGGTTCTTACTTCAGACATACTATAAAACTAAAGTTTATTTTATCCTTTTTAGAACTGAATTTGATTAAACTGGTTTCTTAAAAATGTGGGTTAATTATTGTAGGCCACTACAGGGGAGTTGATTCAGTTGACATGAAGAATGCAATAATGGATATCGACGACGTTCTTGATTATCTCCTTAATGGTCTGAAAAAGAAGAAACTACAAGAGAAGGTAAATTGCATTTTTTTAACACTACTATTCAATCTTTATAGAATATTCAGAATAGGGCGGTTTTCTCCAGAACTACAGCGAAGAGATTTTAATGAAATTTGGTTTGAACATAGGTTGATAAAGTATAAAATGTAACCATGCAACAATTGTGATAGTATCTAACTTTCCAGATACGGAGCAAGGTATAAAACAGTGATTACACAATTGAATAGTATTACGTTATGGATTCGCGCCTGTAAGCTGGCACATATATTTATCTAAACTAGCTTAATTCTATATCAATTTTACTTTAGCTAGCATTTATTGTCATAAACTAAATCCAAAAAGGCTCAGAAATAGAGTAATTAATAATTAGATGACTAACTTATCGATGGCGATCTGGACAAGTTAGTTGCTGGACATTACTAAGTTTGTCAAATCATTAAATTAAGATAATAAAAGAACTCCTTCTCAGCCAATTTGAATGCAATTTTCTTATTGATAATAAATTAATAATCAATAAGAAAACGCAAATTTAGCATTAAATTAAGATAACTTAGGTGCATAAAAGTATAGTGGTTCCAAAACGTTCATGATACGTCATGAAAGCGTTTATACGTCATCTAACGTCATGAAAGCGTTTTAGAAGCGTATTAGGCTTTGGTAGTTGTACAATTCTTAACTATTTCGGTATGCCTTGCCCCCTCTCCTAGTTTGTAACCGTTGTATGGACCTTACACTATGATTTCATAGTCGAAATAAGTCATTTTTATAATTCCTTTGACTCCTTGACCTACTCTTTTAAAAATGATTGGATGGTGGTCGAAGAGAGAGAGTACGAGTTCCAATTTCCTTTCTCAGAGCGTCGAGGTCTGGGGAACTGGCAGGTCCCTTTTCAGAAACCATCAAATCGGCCCAGCCCTCTATGTGGCTGAGTTATTGTCTGCTGAAATGAAATCAAAGCGAACTGCATTCTTGGAAAAATCAAGCATGGAACTCGAAAACTTCGTTTCTGTTGTTAACATCAGTCAAAGTACCCCTTTCTAAAACATGAATGAACATGTTACTATTCAATTTCATACCTGCCCAGACTATCAAATTTCCACTGCTTAATGGACAAGATCATTGGGCAGCAGATGTCTGATTCATACTTTCCTATAGATAGTATCTTGACCAAAGAGCCATATAGAGCTTAGAAAATTTTCTAGTCTTCTAAGCTGGTTTAAAAATGCAGCTTTAAAAATTATAATAAAATGAAAATTCAAAGAACTACTCTCTTAAGTAGGATTGAAAAGAAACAATGATTCTACTTTTGCCACAGCAAAAATGAAATCTTGAAGGTGCAACACTTTTGAAAGACGTGAGGGGGTGATTTTAGGTGGAGATAGAAAATAATTGTGTAATTGGTGAGTAATTGGCGACTAATTATTGGCGAATAATTGCGTAATTGGCGACTTTCGTTACTGCCAGACAAAAATTGATTTTTTTTCTTCCTTTTCTGTCAATATGAAATATTAGTTCTTAAAATTTCTATTTTATTTCATGTATAGTTTTGTGTTTAATTTTGTTTATCTGGAAAGTGACTAAGCTTTCGATCAGCGATAAAAATTTTACTTGTGCTATTTATAGTTGTAAATTGTGTTCACCTTAGACGCAGATATCCAGTTGAAGTTTGAGCTCCCAGAAGGTAATCTAAATTTTAAGCCTTATATAGATACTGTGATTAATTATAAGATTTTTTACTGCCATCGCAAGGGAATAGAACCATTTAAATATCTTGATCAGCAGTCTCAAAGGGCAAAATGTCAAAAAAATTAATAGTTTTCAGTTAAATATTAACGTGTCTCATTTAATAAACAAACTTGCCTGTAACAGAACGACTTTAACAAAGAATAGTAGTAAAATGACAAGAATTGTAGTAAAAGAACAGTCTACGTAAAATAAAAGCTGGCGTAAACAAGATCGAAACTACTTTTAGCTTTTATAAAACAGAGAAATGCGTTTGTCTTCGTCTTTTAAACGATATATTTCATATGTATTCCAATTGATTTCGGAATAAAATTACAGAAAGAGTTTACCAATGTCCGAATTTTTGAATGACAAAAGTCCATTTAACTCGAAAAAATGCATGTTTTCTATTTATTCTTTTTTTTCCAGTTTTTCCATGAGAATTTCTGATCACGATAATTAGTACACAACAATTTCTATATCAGTAAATCTTGTAAAATGCAAACAAGTTTAATCTAACTTATTTTTTTGCCAAATATTTATATTTGCAATAAAAAATTACAAACTGGTGACATTTTGAAGTGAATTTAATACTAAAATATAACGAATAACAGAAGCTTAAGAAAAAATCACTCATTTATTAGCCTCATAATAATAACATGGCATTTCAAATGTTTCTAATACTGCACAATAAANTTCTTAATTTCGTCTTAAAATCATCCGGCTTATCATTCAGTCTTTGCAAGCGTCTCACTTATATCAATACTATAACTTCCAATACCGAACTTTCTAAATGTTTCAAGCATTTTCCTTTTTAAAAACTATCATTCTCTATCCATATATTCTTTCATCATTAACCAACATCTCAACTTTTCCAAACCATTCTCTTGACCCAACATCTTTACAAACGGTAACAGTCATCTTAAAAATCATCCGGCTTATCATTCAAAGTCTTTGAAAGCATCTCACTTATATCAATATCATAATTTCCAACACCAAACTTTCTAAATATTTCAAGCATATTCCTTTTTTAAAAACGATCATACTCTATCCATATATTCTTTCATCATTAACCAACATCTTAACTTTTCCAAAGCATTCCCTTGACCCAACATTTTTACAAACGGTAACAGTCATCTTAAAAAATCATCCGGCTTATCATTCATAAAATCAATACTATCATTTTGAAATCCAAATTTTTTAAATGTTCCAAGTATGTTATTTTCATTCCATATAAGTTTCCAAGTCTAATCCATCTTTTTCTCTAATTCGAGTTTTTAAGTGGAACACACGTAATTTTGATTTTCAAGAGTTCCAAAATAACTACTAACAAGTTGAAGAGAATATGGAACACAATCCATTACACACAAAAATCAGAGTTTTTAAATTGAACACATACAATTTTGATTCTCTAGAGTTCCAAAAATCTCCAAGTTGAAGGGGAATGCAAAATGGTTACTTCTTTTTCGTGCCGCAGCAAGCAAATCTTCTGAAGAAGCTGATGCTTGCTTTTTTAACCCTTTGTCCAGTTCTCCGGACTGATGACCTCCTAAGATTCAAAAATCGACGTTCCTTTCTTGGCTCTTTATCATGGCAGAGATCCTCTCTGCTTCCAGAATCTCCGTTTGAACTATCTCTGCTCAGAAATTCACGGACAATCCTGTTTGAAACAATATCGAAATATCTATCTTCTATGTTTCGTAGGGGATCGTCAGGGGATAGGTCCGGTTTGTAAGAACTTGCTTCGTCGTTTGATTGGTAGACATAACGTTGCAAGCAGTTTTCGCAGATTGATCTAGGAAGCGGATCTTCGTCTGCCCGGACATTTTTGCTGATGATTGATTCAATTTCAATTTCTTGGCTAACTTCAGGCTGCGGTTCGATTTTTTGCCAAGTATGTATGGTGCTGCTTGTATCTCCTTGACTGACATCAGCGAAATAAGATTCATTCTTGGATTTGTTTCCTGCAAGGACTTCGGAGTTGGGGCTTGAAGCAACACTATCATTTAAATTTTTCCTGAAATCAAATTTCTCAGCTGCTTGCAAAATCAACAATGTCGTTGAAGCCATAAAAAAGGCAAAAATATAGCAAAAATAGAGACTCCAATAATTTGAAATTATAGCCAGCAGAATAAGCATTGGTGCAACTACTCGGCTGCATAAATAGTAGACAAAAACTCTGTCCATCTTTAAAGATACTTACACAAAGCAAAATGGGCGTATTTATTATCAATAGCGATCAAATACTAAATGTTTCGCGCTTAGTTATAGAACAAATTACATTGTTAGAAAGTCTAAATTCTATCTAATTGTTCAAGAAGCACATTTCTTGAATTGTTGCGTTCTTGTACTTGAAACAGAAGTTTTATTTGTATATAAAGAATATAATTGTTTAAAATACTTAACAAACACAATGTTCGTTATTGTTGCAGTTTTAAATTTAAAATCTCTCATCTAAGAAAGTGTACAATTTCCATTTGCTTATGCATTTGAAAAACCATTGACTTTAAAGAAATTACCCTAAAATATAAATTGTATTAATGTTAATTGTGTTATCATAAACAATTTAATTAATTTGTAAAAATGTATTTTAAAAATCAATATAATTATCTGTTTATAAGTATTTACTTAGAATTTATTTATTTGTGATTTTTTTTCGTGGGGAGTATAATTTTCGGTCTGCCAAGAAAAAAGTAAGAAATCGCCAAGAAATGTAGACTCAACAGTAAAAAAAAAAAAAAAAAAAAAAAAAAAAAAAAAAAAAAAAAAAAAAAAAAAAAATTTTTTTTTTTTTTTTTTTTTTTTTTTTTTTTTTTTTTTTTTTTTTTTTTTTNTTTTTATGAATAGCATTTATTATGCCAAACATTACTATGAATGATTCTTGATTTCATAAATAAATATAAAGGAAAATATAAAAAATGGGCGAACAGCCGAATCAACAGAAAAATGAACGGAAATGACAGAAAATTCAAAATTGAGATTTTTATATATAGTTGGCATTTTTGCATGATAAATTAAATATTTTTCTCAGAAATAAATTCTGTTTTATTAGGTTTATGGGATTATGTAAAGCCACTTTTTTTTCGAAATTGATCGTGAAGAAATCTTAGTATGCAATCTTAGATTTAAATCTCAGTATGCAAAAAGATAACATATTAAATGAATTTAAAAAAAAATTAGCTGCCAATGCAGAACTTTTACCAATAAGATAGTTCCGAAAATCTAAATCAATGTTCATACAGTTTTCCAATTGTTTCAGTAAATAATTTTTTTTTAACGACGAGCACTTGGGACGTAGACCCATTGACCTCAGGAATGCCAGAACTACTAACCTCTTCTCGTTACCCAGTGGGCACCTGTGGCGAAGCCACGACGGTGGAGCAGCGTCGCCCACGTCACACAACCACAAACCAGTTTATAGGGCGGGACACATTCACGCAATCATACACACAAAGGAGAAAGGACACAGAACACAGAGAGAGAGAAATTTAGAGAATGCCTCTATGCATTACTTATTCTACGGAATTTCTGAGAAGTGTGTGAACTATCAATCATTCCATACTTTTCCGGCTCCTCATTAGACACTCTATAGAATGCCTAGGCCAAGTCTAAAAGTAGTAGAGAGCGTTGTTTGAATGAATGGTTTCGATTGCCCAATAAGGATCTACTAAATTTCTTAATTTCGAATTCACCTAAATTGGTAGTGTAAATCATCTATACTTGTATATCTGCAACACTGTCAGAAAATTTTGTTTATTGCTTGTTCATACGCATTTGTACAAAGCGCAGTACTGAACGCGAAGTAGTAATCATTCGAATAAAATATAAGAGAGAGACAGACATTTCGGTTCTATAACAATTACAGTAGACAACACGTAATTTAATTTTCCTTTTATGACGTTAACTGCTAACCTAACCAACCTATAATAGTTGAAATGTAAATATTTGCCTCATTCGAATGAGGACCATGAACGCAGTCATGGTCAAGGTCAAAGGAAGTCGCTTTCCTCATTTGTGTAAGGTGTAAGGTAATGAAAAGTTTTTCCTCGCACAGGTAAAAGAAAATGTCACATTAAAATGTATTAATATACTCTTATAAAGCCTTGTCTATTACACTGGAGAACATTTTTTTTTGGAGTTTAAAACGGATCTTAGATATTTTCGCGTCGATGATTTCAAATTTGCAATCAGTTCCTCTTTACAAGCTAAAGTTTTTATCTAATTTAGTAATATATTCCTAACCAGGATATTTTAAAATTCATTCAAATGAATACTAAATGTCTCCACTTCTCTGCTACGTTAGGAGCAGTAGGAAGAAGGCGATAATACATTTCATTTTATGATGTGATATGGTAAGGTCACGCGTTTTTGATCTGAAATACCATTTTCAAAGGAGCAGGCAAGTGTATATGCATGTATATAAGCCTATACGTTCTTCATAAACTTATACATTTAGGCAAAAAATAGACTTAACTAAAAATATAATTTTAAAAACAATCTGTAACTTTCTGAACAAAACTAATTCAAAACAATAATATTGATGAAATTCTCCTCCTACACTCGAAGTGAGGTCAAATGCTGGCATAAACGCAATAAAAAATTCATTCCTAGTTTCATTAAAATAAAATTAAAATCAGCTTTTGGTTCCTTTCGCATTACTAATTATCTCGCATTACTAATTAGTTCTTGTAATAATGCCGATACGGTAACTAGTCAATTTTAGCGTTTTTTATTTACTTCAACCACAAAATAACCCTCCTTTCTTTGCTATTTCTGAATTTTTGCTAAGTGCTTTTAAAATTATGAATTACTCATAGGTGAACATAATAATGCTGGCAGACCATGGGATGCAAGACGTGACCAATTCAACTTTCATTACACTGGATAAGTACGCACCTAGCATCAAGTACCAAGTGAATTCAGGTCCAACCTCAAGTCTAATACCAATTGACGGTAAAGAGGAAAAGGTAATACATTAACTATTGCTCACTTAACCTTTTACTTACTGCTGGTACAACATGTGGACCACAGATGACGGTACAACATGGTACGCCACAAGCAAAGGGTTAAAGTTTAAATCACATGACGGAAGAATAATGTGAGATAGTGATAACCCTCAAAAAGATAAAGTGACGTGATTAAAAAAAATTAACTTTTAACTATTTGACCAGTTTAATTTCTTTAAGAGGCTATTTAATAGCCTTTACGGTTAGTTATATCGGTTCTCTCCAAAATGGCTGACGGTCTGAAAAATCAATGAAAGAAAACAAAATCGAAGTATTTTGTACTTTTTTTAAATCAACGGTATTGAACGGAGGTATAAATCGTACCATATTTTTACCTCCATGCGTTGAACAGTAGATCCATGATGCGGCTGTACTCATGTTAAACTCCATAACTCATGTTTCAAGCATTCGCCTGCGGGGAAGAGTCTTCAAGGGAAACCAACCCGCATTTGCTTTGCATAGAGAAGAAAATCACGAAAACTTCCCACTGTTAGTCCAACGTCAAAGGGACTCTATCCCATGATCCGTAAACCACTGGGGATATTTTATGTTCGCACTAGAATCAGTGCAGACACGGAAAAAGTACACCAGTCTTCCAGCCAGCCATCAGCGGGATTTGAATATGGGTCACTCTATGGCTTACTGACATCTCGTAATGATTTCAAGTTCTTAAAATTATTTGAAAGTATAATTTTAAGAATTCCAATTTTGTTTTTCATGTGAGTACAACAAATATTTTGGAAATGCATACGTAAAGGTTACTTTCACGACCTGCACGGAACATGCATTTCACTTTTAGACATCTGAAAGGTTAACATGTTTATAACTTGCTGTGAAAGAAATTATAAATTAAAAGCTAGTACTGTAAAAGAAGCAAGAAGAAAAGTGCAAAAAAAGTTAAATAAATAAATAAAACTTTTAAACGAATTTTTATATTTGGTCGATTATCTACTGAACTACTTGGTATACTGGGCAGACTTTAACAACATTTGGTTTGAACTAGGTTGATATAATACAAAAATAATAACCATTCAACTGTTGTACTACGCAAACATGACATTCACCAGGGTCAGATGGTATCAAACAGTGGTTACAGAATTGAAGTTCCTGTGGCAGTTTGTCCCACTCGTTCAATAACGTTGAGTATTGAGTATAGTAAAGTGCGGCGTGCTCTCTGCTTTCGCTTATAGCACTGCGTTTCAATAGGTAAGGCTTAATTTAGCCTATCAAGATTTATATGAGCTCTGAGGCTCTTCTTCAAATTCCTACAACGCTGTTTTCAGAGAGTAAGTGGTTCTCGAGGGGAGGAGTTACGTGTTACAGTTGCCTTACTGAAAGCGTCTCAAACATGTTCTCTAGAGTTGAGGTCTGGAGATCTGGTTGGTCAGTCCATCCGGCGAATATATTCATTTTCCTGAAAATGGTTGATCAGAAATGCTCTGGATGGTGTCATATTGCCACTCTTTAAAATTAAATCCGGACCAACTGCACCTCTGAAAAGGCGAACATAGAACTCCAAGACTTCGTCCCTATACCTCATACTTGTCAGAGTACTTCTTTCACAAAGATGGAGGGGTGGGCGAGAATTCAGCATTTGCTTTGCCTGAGCAGCAAAACTTGGCTGCTATAATGGTCGATTTCTCGGACATTAGAAAACTGGTAGCTGGTCCCTGGTTTTCTTCCAATGCAAGTACGTCGAGAGTCAGTGGTCAGAGTAAAGCGCGACTCATAAGTGAAGAGAACATTATACTATTGATTCATGCTCTAATCTAATCTCTATGTTCTCTGCACCAACATAAACGATTCTTTGACCCTTGAAATTCAGTTTCATGTGGCAGCATAGAGGTCAGGAGCTGTAACGTCTCGCTGTAATCGACAAATGCCGTTCATCGGCAATCGCTGTGGCTATTGTCTGACCTTGTCCAGGCTTTCTTTCGACAGATTCGGAATTCTGAAAGTGTTTCCATAAATTGCACATGATGCTGGACGTTAAATTGAATTTTCTTTAAATCTGAGTTTGAGTCCCCTTGAAACCAGGCTAACCATGGGAGGGTTTTGTGGTTTTCCTCTCCATGTAACGCAAATGCGTTTTGGTTCAATCAAAATGTCCCCCAAGAAGGCAAGTTTCACCCAATACTTGATCCAGGAGTTTCCTTGTCTTCTGGATTGGGTTCATAATTACAAGGTTACGGAATTGAACATTAGTAGCCATAAACTCATTAGTAGACGGGAACTCAATATTATGTTGGCTATTCTATGACGGTTATAGAATAAAACAAAAATCTTGATTTGAGGGCTGGGGTGGCTAGGGGAATTGAGCGCTCACCTCCCAATGAGGTGACCCAGGTTCGAACCTAGTGATGGCTGATGGATACGAATTCTACACTCGGCTCTCACCGATCATAGTGTTGACGTAAAATACCCTCAGTGATAGACGGATCATGGGTTAAAGTCCTTTTGCCGTTAGTCTAACCGTGAGAGATTTTCCTCTCCATATAAAGCAAATTCGGGTTAGTTCTATCAAAAAATCCTCCGCGAAGGCGTATTTCTCTCAATACTTGATCCAGGAGTTCTCTTGTCTTCTGGATGAGGTTCAAAATTACAAGGCTACGGAGTTGAATATTGGTAGTCGTAAATATGCACCATCACTTTTCAAGCACAGCCAGCAGTTACTTCACCGACGGCCCAAGCTTATGTTATTGCTGGGCATGGTAACGCAAGAGGGAATGCATGGAGAGTGGGAAAATCACGTAAGCTTAAGACACATATTTTATTTACAAAGAGTATAGCCCTTCTTATGTGTATACAACGTTACTTAGTTATTAAGAAAATTCACTTACTGTGTTATCGAACCTTTTAAAATGTTTAGCTTTTATTTTACACTTGATTTATTTTTATTAATACTATTGAATTTATGGTTTGCAGCTCTACAATGATATAAAGAATGACAATATAACAGGACTACACATCTATAGAGTGAAAGACATCCCCGAAAAGTATCATCTGAAGAAGGCTCCTCGGATCGGCCCTCTTTACTTGAATACCGAACCCCGTTATTTCATTAAAGCGGTAAGCATTGAGAAGCCTCTAAACTGTTTCATTTTCATTGTAGGCATTTGCCTTAATCTTCGTAATTAGAAATAATGATTCAACCTGTTCCTGAAGAAGAAAATCTCAGACCCTATCCATGCGTGGAAACCAGCTTCAACACCAACATTTTGGCTATTAAGTCGGTTAACAGTCAACATTGCTACGTCACAAAATGAAAGAATCACGTGTTCTCTATTTACAAAACTTTAATAGTCTGAAAAAATCACAGACATATGGAAAGATAACGCTTTATCCGTATGAAAAGTACTTAAAAAGAATTGTTTATTAAGACTGAAGTAGCAATTCTGTATTAATGACAAAACACGCTTTACACGAGATTTGCGAAGCGTTTCACATGTACAGCCTCCTCATTCAAAGAAAAAGAACACCCTGAATTACTTTTGATCCCGTGAGGGAAAAAAACCCTATTCGGAACTTTATATCCCACAAATTATTCTACCAATTTCATTCAAATAAAACTATATAATTTATCAAAATGTAGAAATTTGCTTACCTTATAAAAATTATGCGATCATTCGTTGAAGAAATGTAAGAATTTTTTTTCTTTCAAAAACTGAAACTAATGCTCAAGATTTATTGCATTTTACTATTACCGATTAATATTCGAGACATTAAGATTCCTTATTAATCAAAAGCAGATCACTACATGGTAGGTAGGTACTTTATTGACGTCGCACTAGAGCTGCACAATGGGCTATTGGCGACGGTCTGGGAAGCATCCCTGAGGATGATCCGAAGACATTCCATCACAATTTTGATCCTCTGCAGAGGGGATGGCCCCCTTCTTTGGTAGCCCGATGACCAGCACTCGAACACTTTACATGTAGAACAGTTTAACGAGGACCGATACCGCGCACCCTCGGTCCCTACGCAGGCTGATCAAAGTGGTCAGATAATTACATGGAGAGTTAGCAATGATGTGCTCTTTTTTTTCCCTTTTTGTGCGTTGGCCAGTACAAAAAAATAAATAAATAAAAACGGAGCATAACTTAAATAACTTTTGATCTAGTGATCGGATCTTGGCGTATTAGGACTCATTCTTAATGGTTTAAAGGGGTGACCTTAAATATGATAATTAATAATTGCAGACCATACTTTATGATACTGAATAAGGCACAAAAACGTAAGTTCTCTGAATAAATATGCCTTCTTCAATTCCTACTATTAGTTCACACTCTCCCTATATCTTGTTCAAATTTTCAATCGTTAATAAAATATTTTTTATTCATCCACTCAAGTTCAAATGCATTTTTTTAAACTTGTAGTGAATGTGACACTTGATGTTAATACAGTTTTTCATTAGTTAAATATTAATTCATTAATTAAATTTAATTAATTAATTTTAGTTTTGTGTGAGAGAAAAAAATTTCTCATACATAAGATATTTAGCAGGATATATATTTAGAAATCAACACCGTCAGTGGCGAAGCGTGTAGCAAAAAATTTCTTTTTCAGATTTTATATTAATTATTTAATAAAAAATAATAAAAATAAAATTTTTTGTTGTTGATCTACGTAAGAATTGATTTTTTAAATTCTTTTTATAATACTTGTTTTCTACGGATTTGGTTTCCCGATCGTCAGAATGGGAAAGGAGAAAGCCGCAATTCAGGCCCAAATAGTTTGGCCAGGAGGGCGGTTGAAAGTTTGGGCCCCTTAATGTGAATTTTACTTTTCGCGTATTTCACCAAATGACGAAAATTTTTTAAGTGAAGCGAAAATTTTTGACTCTTATAAAATTTGATACTTCAGACATTATCCAACCGATTCCGTTCAAATTTTTTATTTCGTCATACAAAATAACAATCTTTAATATGATGTAAAAATTCATATATCCCACAATCCAAAATTCTTTTAACTATTATTAAATTATGTAAAAAAAAAAGTAATTATTAATTTTTTTGTTGTTGCGTGGAATTACTTTTGGATAAAAGAGATTTATTACTCAGTGGAATTTTTTTCCGGACTCGCTTAAAAAGTTCTCAAGATACAGCGAAATACACAAAAAGTGAAATCCAGGGCTCCGAACTTTTGACCGCTCTCCTGATAATTCCCATATTGTGGCTCTCCTCTCCTCGGATTTTTACGGTCATTAATCCAAATCCGTCTTAAAAAAAAGTATATTTATTCAAAGAATGTACGTTTTTTGTGCCTGACCTGGCAACTTAAAATATCGTCTCCTCCAATTAATCAGCATATTTAAGGTCATCCCTTTAAACCATTAAGAATGAGTCCTAATACGCCAAGATCCGATCACTAGATCAAAAGTTATTTAGGTTATGCTCCGTTTTTTTTTGTACTGATCAAAGCACAATAAGGGGAAAAAAAAGAGCACATCATTACTAACTCTCCATGTAATGATCTGACCACTTTGATCAGCCTGCATAGGGACCGAGTGTGCCCTGTATCGGTCCTCGTTAAACCGTTAAGTGCTAGACTTCCAGCGCAGGTCGTCGGGCTACCAAAGCAGGGGAGCCATCCCTTCTGCAGAGGATCAAAATTGCGATGGCATGTCTTCGGATCATCCTCAGGGATGCTTCCCAGACCGTCGCCAATAGCCCATTGTGCAGATCTAGTGCGACGTAAATAAAGTACTTCCCTACCATGTAATGATCTGCTTTTGATTAATAAGGAATCTTAATGTCTCGAATATTAATCGGTAATAGTAAATTGCAATAAATCTTGAGCGTTAGTTTCAGTTTTTGCAAATTTTTGTTCACATTTCTTCCACGAATGATCGCATGATAAGGTAAACAAATTTCTACATTTTGATAAATTATATAGTTTTATTTGAAGGAAATTGGTAGAATAATTTGTGGGATACAAAGTTCAAAATAGTGTTTTTTTTTCAATTGCATATGTTTAAAATGTTAATAAAAAATGTGCTTGTTTTATTTTTTTTAGTTAAGTATGAAGAGTTTAATTGAATAGCTAAATTAACTTTATGTAAAAAGTATCTAAAGTAATTAATGAAATGTGACGTATTGTCGTGAAGATCAATCACTGTGAAGAGGAAATTAAGATCATCTAAAAAGCATTTCATGTATTTGATGAAATCGAAGAACCATATGACTGACTGAGTCATGTGAGTTGACGTTGAGTCATAAAATAACTTCCGTATGCAGTAAGTAAGCTAAAGAAGATACACCATAATTTCAAGTTAAATTAATAACATAATTTATAACTTAACATGTGAGGATG